GAGCTAAAGCATAAAAAATAAAACTGATTAAAACAAAGGAAAACAGGATTGACAAAAGAGTTAGCTAAAAATCTAGAGTTTAGAATTCATCTTTTAGTAAAAGTCTGAATTTATTTCAAAAGCAGTGAGTGACTTTCTACTGCTGCAAGACTGTTTCCTTTATCAAAATGTTCCCAAAGGAATTCCTCTTACCAAAAATATAAACCAACTTCCACACTTCCAAGCTTAAAACTCAAACCCCTCCTCTGAACCTACCCTCTCTTTCCATCTCTATTTCCCTTCTTCAACCTCCCAGACTGCTCCAATGACAACCTACTTTATTCATGAGCTACTGGAGTCCTGATGTGGTGCTTAGGATAAGCACTGGACCTCAAGGTCGGTTTCAACCTCAAGCCTGGTGGTTCAAACTCATTTAGCTGCTTCCCAGAAACCCTATATAAGATCGCTATGAATCAGAACACACTTGAGAGTACTTAACAGCAATCACAAAGCATACAGCCTTTCATATTTCCATGTTCATAGATTTTCTCATTTTCTTATTACATGTAAGATATATGAGCTTTTCACAAAACTATCGATTGTATGCCATCTTGTGGTACCATATGTAAATATATATATATATATATATATAGAGAGAGAGAGAGAGAGAGAGACACTCATGGTGTGGCGCTGTAGGATTTGCACTGGTCTGTGAATCAAAGGTCAAAACCCTATACAGGGTCACTGAGTCAAAATCGACTCAATGGCACTTAAAAACAACAAATATACATACATACTATATGTATAGTTGAATCCATTCCAATCTATAGCAACCCTGTGTATAGGGTTTCTGAGAAGCAGCTGGTGAGCTTGAACCACTGACCTTACAGTTCAAACTGACCTAGTGCTGTGGCTCAATGCGTTGGACTGCAAGATCAGTTTGAACTACAAGGTCGGTGGTTCAAGCTCACCAGCTGCTTCTAAGAAACCCTAACAACTATATATATAAAACTGTAGAATAAGCACTGAACTGATAACTGCAAGGGTCAAACCTACCAGTCACTTCTAGGAAACCTATACAAGGTCACTATGAGTCAGACCCAACATGACACCACTTAACAACAGCAACAACTACAAATATATATATATATATATATATAATTGAAAGTGTGGCACTGTGGGAATGAGCTGGACTGCAAGGTTGGTTTGAACCACAAGGTCAGAGATTGAAGCTCACCAGGGCTCCTTGGAAATCCCATACAGAGTCATTATGAGTCCGAACCAACTTGATGACGCTTAACAACAACAACAACCAACTTCTTTAGTCAGAAATTAATCAAGCACAAATAGAAGAAGACAAACTAGAGGACAGATACCCTCCTAAAAATTAGATAAATATGTGCAACAAGAATTCACCAAAAGAGTAAAAAGAGAATTCAAAGTGAAAAAAATTTTTGGCAATGACATATCAGACAAGGGACTAATCTCTAAAATTGACAGAAAACTTTAACACATTAATAAGAAAAATACAAATGGTCCAATTAAAAAATAAGCAAAGGGCATAAACAGACACTCCACTAAAGAAGACATCCAGGTAGCCAACAAACATATAAAAAAATGCTTGCAACCATAGGCCATTAGAGAAATGCAAATCAAACAATAATGAGACATCATCTCAACCTAGCATTAATGTTGTTGTTGTTGTTAGGTGCCACTGAGTCAGTACTGACTCATAGTGACCTTATGCACAACAGAACAAAACACTGCCCAGTCCTTCACCAACCTGAACAATTGTTAATACACCTGAGCCCATTACTGTGTCAATCCATCTCATTGAGAGAATTCCTCTTAACTGATGCTCCACTTTACAAAGAATGATATTCTTTTTGAGGGACTGCTCCCTCCTGATAATGTGCCCGAAGTATGAGAGACAAAGTCTGACCATCCTGACTTCTAAGGAGAATTCTGGCTGTACTTCTTCCAACACAGATTTGTCTGTTTTTCTGGCAGCCCATGGTACTTTAAATATTCTCCTTCAACACCGTAACTCAAATGCTTCAATGGTCCTATGGTCTTCCTTATTCATTGTCCAACTTTCACATGCATATGAGGTTACTGAAAATACCATAGTTTGGTTCAGGTGCACCTTAGTCCTCAAACTGACATTTCTGTTCTTGAACTCTTTAAAGAGATCTTGCACAGCAGATGTGCCTAATGCAATACATCATTTGATTTACTGACTGCTGCTTCCATGAGTGTTGATAGTTGATCCTAACAAAACGAAGTCTTTGACAACATCAATCATTTCTCCATTTATCATGATGTTATTTACTGGTCCAGTGGTGAGGATTTTTGTTTTCTTTACATTGAGGTGCAACCCCTATCGACGGCTGTGGTCTTTGATTTTCATTGCTTACATTTTTTAAGTTCTCTTCCCTTTCAGTAAGCCAGGTTGTATCAGCTGCATATCACAGGTTGTTAATGTGTCTTTCTCTAATCCTGATGCCACATTTTTCTTCATATAATCCAGCTTCTTAGTTTATTTGCTCAGCATACAGACTGAATAGGTATGGTAAAAGATACAACCATGGCACACACCTTTTCTAATTTAAAACCATTCAGTGTCCCCTTGTTCTATTTAAATGACAACTTCTTGGCAGTCTATGGTACTTTCAGTATTCTGGAATATTCATTTTCCACAATGTTGTCCATGGCTTGTCTCTGCAATATTGTCCATAATACAAACAATCAAAAGCCTTTGCATAGTCAATAAAGCACAGATAAATATTTTTCTGGTATTCTCTGTTTCAGCCAAGATCCATCTGACATCAGCACAATAGCCCTTGTTCCACATCCCCTCCTGAATCTGGCTTGAGCCTCTAGCAGTTCCCTGTAAATGTAGAGTTGCAGCCGTTTTTTAATTACCTTTAGCAAAATTTTACTTGCATGAGATATTAACGATATTGTTAAATGATTTCTGTATTCCGTTGGGTCTTCTCTCTTTGGAATGGGCACATATATGGAACTCTTACAATCAGCTGGACAGGTAGCTGTCATCGAAATTTCCTGGCACAAATGAGTGAGTGCCTACAGTGCTGCATCAGTTGTTAAAAGATTTCAATTTGTAACCCATTAATTCTTGTTCTTTGCCAGTGCCTTCAGTGTACCTTGGACTTCCTTCCTTCGGTACCATTGGCTATGGATCATATGCTACTTCTTGAAATGGTTGAACATTGACCATTTCTTTTTAGTACAGTGACTCTGTGTATTCGTTCCGTCTTCTTTTGATGCTTTCTGCGTCATTCAATGTTTCCTATAGAATCCTTTAAGATTCCATGTCGAAGCCTGAGTTTTTTCTTCAGTTGCCTCAACTTGAGAAATGCTGAGCATGTTCTTCCCTTTTGGTTTTCTAACTCCAGTTCTTTGCATATTTCACTATATTATTTGACTTTGCCTTTTTGAGTTGCTCTTTGAAATTTTCTATTCAGCTCTT